CCTGGGTTCGATTCCTCAGCACCACATAAGCAAAAAGAAAAAAAAAGCCGGAAGTGGCGCTGTGGCTCAAGTGGTAGAGTGCTAGCCTTGAGCTGAAAAGCTGAGGGACAGTGCCCAGGCCCAGAGTTCAGGCCTCACGACCTGACCCAAAAAAAAAAAGAAAAATGCTATTTGAAGGCATTCTCCAGTACTTACTCTAAGTACTTTTTTTTTTTTTTTTTTGTCAGTCGTAGGGCCTGAACTGTGGGCCTGGGCGCTGTCCCTCTACCATTTGAGCTACAGTACCACTTGCAGCTTTTTCTGCTTATGTGGTGCTGAGGAATTGAACCCAGGGCCTCATGCATGCAAGGCAAGCACTCTACCATTGAGCCACCTTCCCAGCTCGCTAAGTATTTTTAATGGCTGTATACTGTTCCACCATTTATATGTATTATAACTCAGTCACCCTATTTCTTATCAGGCAACTAGGTTGTTCTGGCTTTTGTGGTTCAGGCGTGTGTGTACCGTTTGTGTACTGGATCTGTGCTATGATCCAGAGAGTCCTGAAGAGGGGCACCGTCAGCGGAATTACCCGATCAAAGCAGAGGCAGTGTCTTGCCTCAGAGCTTTCTAGATGATTGTACGCTACATTTCTTCTCACACCAGCTTTGAGTTCAGACCTTTAAAAGTCTGCCTGGTCTCTAAGCAATTGAAATGGCTTTCATTGTTTCAAGATTTTGAGCCATTTAAGCATTAAACCTTGGCTTTGGGCCAGCCTACCTCCCTCATGGCGGAGCATTCTTGATTCCAGTTCCTCCTAAACCCTTGGCCTCACCGACCAGACATGAGGCTGCTGCCTTTGCCCAGCAGGTACCCAGAAGCCCCCACTCCTCACTTCAGGGTTAGGGTGAGAACGAAAGTGTGTACATCAGCTGGATGCTGGGCCCGGGAGTCTTTCCTAGGGGGTCAGGGACGGAAGGCTTTGCCGGCTCTGGAGCAAGGGCTTCGTGTCTCATGGTTGGTGGTCAGGTTCCTCCTGGGGCTGAGCCGTGTGGAGCCATGGGTGAGCTGCAGCCTCTCTGACCCCCGAGCGCCGCCTCCTCTGGGCGTTGTTATGATCTGTGTGGTCCACAGCACGTGGGGGAGGTGGCACACAGGTCTGCCCTGGGTGGTGGCAGGTGACACGGAACATCTGGGAAAATCTGCCAGCACACAGCATACCACAGCATCACTGATGATCAGCCTAAGACCTTGAGGGTCCTTTTCCGCAGCTGCTCCACTTGGGTTTGGCAGTCAGGCTGAGCTCATGAAACCCTGTGGAAAGCCTTGAACTCTGAAATTTCCCCTGCTGGAGTCAAGGACACACGGGGGTGGGGGAGGGGGACAGAGTGCCAGCCCCAGCAAGACGCCATCCTGACCGTACCCAGGGAGCAGCCTCCTGCTGCCGTGGCTTCTGCCCCTACGCTGTCCCTAGAGAAGCTGTGACCTAGAGTTCCGCAGAGCCCAGGCTGCACCCTGCAGGCTCTGGGGAAGATGGGCTTGCCCACCCAAGGGTGAGAGGGTGGGTGGCATCAGCAGGAGGGTGAGGAACAGGAAGATCTGGGGTCCCTGCCCTTGCTGCCAGGTTCTGCAGTGTAGATGGAGCCTCTCCAAGAGCCCCAGGGACAGTAGGCCCAGCCTCAGAGCCACGGGTAGAAGCCCCCATTGGTGGGAGGAGCCTCTGTGGGCTGCACCGCTGGGGTGAGGCCCTCCCTGTGCCCTGCCTCACCCCCCCCCCGCTTTCTCTGCCTACAGCGTGGATCTGGTCCACGCTCAGATCCACGTGGCTGAGGGCAGGAGCCTGCCTGACCTGGGGCTGCGGCAGGAGAACATCCGCATCAACGGCTGTGCCATCCAGTGTCGGGTGACCACGGAGGACCCTGCGCGCGGCTTCCAGCCGGACACCGGCCGCATCGAGGTAGGCCGTGTTCTACCGGGGGGGGGGACGCCCGTCCAGGCTAGTGGGGGATTCTCTCTGCCACCCCAGGGTGGCCAGGGCTGCCAGCACCAAGTCATGCCAGTCCCTGGGCAGCGGCTGCTGGCGGAGGGCCTAGGCCTCAGGCCTGCGGGGCAGCAGGAGAGGTGCCCCAGGGCAGTCAGGAGAAACCGCTGACTGGGACACAGGGAGGCCCAGCACAGCCCAAAGGAGACTGGCCTGCGCAAGGCCAAGAGGGAACCAGGAGAAAGTCACCTAAACGGACAGGACAACCTGGAGAAGCAAAGGCTGGGTCCTCAGACATGAAGCCTGGCGTGGCGCTTACGGAACCTGCGGCCTCACTATGACTGCTCCGTGGGGGAGCAGGCAGGGGCCCCGGGGTTGGAGGTAGGGAAGCCCAGCATTGGAGTCTCTGTGGAGCCCAGAGAGCACCCGTCCCCATCCCCAGCCTCAACTACACCCATCATGGGGCCCAGAGCCGGCCTCCTGCTTGTCCCCGCAGCCCTGTGGAGAATGAGGGAGCTCCACGGGGAGGGGCTGCAGTGATGAGAGCCAGATGGACTTGGGCTGCAGCTTCCCGTCCCGCAGCCCTGCCCGCCTCCCCCCTCAGCCTCTGACCCCAGCCTGTCCCTTGGCCCTCTGTGTCCTGAGTGTTGGCAGTGCTGCACCAGCCCTTCTGCCCAGCTCCTGCCTACTGGCCTGGGCCGCGAGGATGCAGCGCATCCCAGGGGCTCAGGACTGGTTCCGGAGTCCAGGATGGAAGGCCTGGCCTGGGCCCGGGCCAGAGCTGCAGGTACCAGTAAGAGGCTCATTCTGGACTTCAGAGGCCGTGGAGTTGAGGCTGGGGGTGGGGTCTGAGAGCCATGCAGGCTACCTGCATTTGTTTCTAGAAGGATCAGAGCTGATAAGCGGGAGCAGCTCCAGGCTGGAGCCGCCCCATGGCCCGACTCCTCTGCCCTCAGCCAGAGGGAGCAGCCCAGGGCTGGGCTCAGCTGCCAGCTGCGGCCTCTCCAGCTCCAGCTCCAGCTCCAGTCCACCTCCACAGTCGGCTGCTCCAAGCTGCTCGCCACAGAGTATTTTTAGCTGGCAGTTCCTGCTCACAGCTGAGTGTCCACCCTTAAATATTTTATTAAGTTCCTCTCTCTCAAGCACAGGCCCAGGCCCCTCAGCGGCAGAAGGTGTGCCTCGGGTGTCCCGAGCCCCTCTTTTCTTCCTCCCCTCTTCCTCAGAGGCACCTGATGGTCCCCACCCCCGCCTGGCATGGCCCACCTGTGAGAGTCTGTCCCCAGACACTCCAAGCCTCCATCTCCCCTTCTCTCCATCTACTGTGCGTGCGTACGTGTGTGTGTGTGTGTGTGTGATTTCTGCTCCAGCTCTGTGTGCTTCAAGGCAAGCCATGTGATCTGGGTGTACACCTGTCTCCGCTCATGTCAGAGACAGAGCAGTTGTCTTTATTCTCAGTGTTCCCAGCTCCCCGTTGCCCTCCAGGCTGGAGGGGAACCTGAGTGGATATTTGAGGCCTTCTCCATTACCCTATACATTAAAACAAAAACAAACAGCCAAGTGTCATGGCACAACCTATCATGCTAGCATTTGAGAGGTTGAGGGGGAGGATCATGAGTTTGTGGCCAGTCTGGACAATATAGCACGCCCATGTCTCCAAACAAAAACAAAAGAGGCCAGGTGCTGGTGACTCATGCCTGTAATCCTAGCTACTCAAGAGGCAGGCATCTGACAATTACAGCAAAGCCAGCCCAGGCAAACACATCTGGGATACCATCTCCAATTAACCAGCAAAAAGCTGAAAGTGGAGGTGGAGCTCAGGTGATACAGTAGAAGTGTGCAGCCCTAAGTTCAAGCCCAAATTACACACACACACACACACACACACACACACACACACACACACACACACGAGTCAGCCACTACAATTCTGACACGTGGAGTAGAGAGGATTGTGGTTTGAGATTAGCCTGGGCAAAAATTTAGGGGAACTCTATCTCATAAAACAAAATCCGGGTGTAATCCCAGCTACAGAGGAGACAATGGTAGGGGGGGGTGACAGTCCAAGGATGGCCCAAGGCAAAGCACAAGACCCTCTCCATCTAAAAATACAAGCAAAAGGGGCTGGGGTCTCAAACGGCAGACTACCCAGTACTGGCCCAAAACATCAAAATTCTCCTTTCCCCGCCCAGTTTCCTGCAGTGTCCCCTTGTCAGTCCAGTTATTTCCATGTCTGTCCCGGAGCCCCGAGCAAACAGCATTTGCGCTTTAGCTGCCACTCCACAGCTGGGCATTCCAGGCAGCTCCTGAAACAAGTGAATGCCCGTGTGTTGGCATCAGCAAGAAGGAAGGGTTGCTCAGGCTGGCTGGAGAGGTGGGTGGGACTCACCTTTTGCCACTGAGGTCAACTTGGAGCTGAGCTAACAGTGCCTGCAGCCCCAGCGAGCCCCTCACTGTCCCCCTCTCTCCCCCCACCCCCTACCCCTGCTCTGAAGTCACAGGCAGCAGTGACTGGCAAGGGACCCTGGATTTGCTGAGATAGATGTAGAGCAGAACTCAACAACAGAGTTGGGGTTCCCTGCAGTGACCCTTGAGCCCAGTTCTTAGCACCTAGCGGACCCCGCGGAGGGCCACACCTTGGCTGCAGCTGTGATCCAGCTGCTGACCCAGCTTCATCTGCACAGGTGTTCCGCAGCGGAGAGGGCATGGGCATCCGGCTGGACAACGCCTCTGCCTTCCAAGGGGCCGTCATCTCCCCCCACTATGACTCCCTGCTGGTCAAAGTCATCGCCCATGGCAAAGACCACCCCACAGCCGCCACCAAGATGAGCAGAGCCCTGGCGGAGTTCCGGGTCCGAGGTGTGAAGGTGAGAGACGGCCGGTGCCCGCCAGTGCCCAGGGGCTGGTGTGGCTCCTACTACTGCTCCCCACTGACCAGTGGCTTGCCTCCCCCTGGGCTCAGCCTCAATGGCTCCTTCTAGACACTGCGGGTGCTGCAACCACCTGAGCACCAGTTGGTCAGGACTCGGTATCCCTAAGCACTGCTGCTACTGCCGCTCAGATGCCCGCATGCCCACTCCAGGGCCTCTGGTCTGGAGCTTGTGCTAGGGCACCCATGCCATTCCTCCTTCCTCTTGGATCAAAGCCACCTGTGGTGTGCAGGCCTGCTTCTAGAAATTGACCTCACAGATTTAAGTATAGGCCCCAGAGCTTATTTTCAACAAGCTCCCCCAGAAAATTCTTAATCTTAAGAAAATTTATGTTCCCTGACCAAGAGCTCCAGCCCTGGGTTCAGATCCTCTCCCTGCCCCTCCCCCCAGCTCCCCATCCACGCAGCCAGCTTGGCATTTGCAGAGGGGCGGGCGCTCCAGGGGCAGCAAGGAGCCTGGCTGCAGGGGGGCAGTGATCCGAGGGGGTCCAGCCTGTGGTGAGGGTCCAGAGTGCTTCTCGTCTCCTTGTTGGGCTCTGTTCGTTCCCAGTGTCTGTAGCTAGAGATGAATTCACAGCCAAGAAATACTGTCCTTTAAAGCCAGCACCTGCCCCCGGATCTTACGGGCCCTGTCTCACAGGGGCTCCTCCCTCCTGCTTTCCCGGGGCCTCTCGAAGGACGCTCTGCCCGCAGCAGAGGCGCCCTGGCCTCTCTGCCCTCCATCCGGCCTGTTCCAAGCCTGCCTGCTGTCGAGCTGGCTGGTGGGGCTGACTGCAGTGTGTCCCCGCAGTGCCCTGACCTGGCCTTCCCCTGTCTGTTTTGCTAACATCCGAGTCCCTGTCTCCCACTCTGGTCCTGCCCTGCTGCCTCCTCACCACCCTGTCCACCACTCCCGCCTGCTCCTCACCATCAGCGCCTTGTTTCCATTTTTTATATGGCATCTCTCTTGGTCCTGTTCAGATGTGCCTGCCACAGGGCAGCAGGGCAGGTACTTGAGAGCTCAGCCTGCACAGAGACCTGCTCCCGCCTACCACATTTCCACTAGGCACCTGGGTGCTTAGAGCTGTGTCTAAGGGCAAAGGAAGGCTGGTCAGAGGGCTGGAGGGGCCTGGGATCCCGCAGAGGAAGCAGAGTAGGAGGCCCTGACCTGCTTGGATCTCCAGAGGAAGACTAGAAAGGGAGGAGTGCCCACCCCGCTGCGTCCTGCAAAGGTGTGTCCAGGCCAACTTTCCAGAAAAGCCCAGGGCAAAGCCCCAGGCGCCTTGGAGGGGCAGGGAGGTGCGTCTCACTTGGGTCTGGGGAACAGGATCTTCTGGAAGGTCAGTGTGTGCCCAGCCTTCCGAGGCCTTTCAGACGGCATTCTGCAAGTCCTCTGGCGCTCCCGCCACAGTGGACAGGACCGTCCCCACGGGAGCCGCGCTCAGGACACAGCTCCCACCAGGTCCCTTGGCCCAGAAAGCCGCGCCGTCTCGGGATCCAGAGTGAGGCCTTGCTGCCATTCCTCAGGGCCGTGACGCTCTGAGCGCTGCCAGGGGCGTGCTGGTGCCAGCTCCGCGCGCCTGGGCATCACACGAGAGCACAGGGCCTCTGCACACCTACCGGGAAGGCGTGGCCTCGGCACTCGCATGCAAGGCCGACAAAGCCCAGACGGCGCAGTCGGAAGCCGTAGCTACTCTAGGGTCAGAAGTTCTCACCCCAGCATTGTCCCTTGCCCCGGGCTGTACCCCCAGGAAGGCTGCTGGGGACTGCCGGTGCCAGCCTTGAGCCTGTGCTGGTCTATGTGTCCTACCAACCCCTCCCGGAGGACACCAGAAACCAGCGTGGAGGGGGTGTCCCCAACAATTTTATTATAAATAGAAATGAGACTCCCACTTGGTGGCTGCAGCCTCTGCCTTGGTGGCTCTGAGCACCTGTCGGAGGGACCTGTCCCTGTCCCCCAGTCTGGAGGCCAGAACTGAGGAAAGGGCTTGCTGTCCCACCAAGAACACGGGGAGCCTGAGGTACCGAGGATAAAAACCAGGAGGGCAGCAGGGCGGGCCGCTGCCCTCACCTTCGGCCAGCACAGGACGCCACTCGCTCCTCAGGGCAGCGGGGACGCTGCCCCATCACACCACGCTCTCCTCCAGCCGCTCTGCGCTGCCCCCGAGGCCCCGACACCCCGCCCCCAGCAGCCCCCCATGTACAGAGTGGCTCCGCCGTGCCCAGGCGCCCCCCAGACGCCTGGCGTACCCGTAGCAGCCGCCGCTGTCCCCCAGGTCCAGAGAGCAGCTGCGCTGGGGGCGGGGAGGGGGGCTGCGTGGCGGGTGCGTCTTGGGCGTGGGGCTGGGGCCCCCGTTGGTCTGGGACTGGACGTGGCTCAGCTTGAGTGGGAGGCGGCCATTTCCAGCTCCCCGGCCCCGAACCAGCAAGGCCACAGTGAAGACCAGTAAGGCAGCCACCAGCACCCCGCCCACAGCCACAGTCAGCGTCCCGCCCAGCACGTGGGCCTGCAGGGCGTGGCACAGGGGTGTGGCGGGCAGTGTGGAGAAGTGGGCGCAGCCCAGCAACCTGGTGGCCGTGAGGTCCGAGGGCCCGGCAGCCGGCGACAGGGCCAGCAGGCAGAGGTCGTAGTCAGCATCCGGTACCAGGTGCTTGAGCAGGAAGTGGTGGCTGGAGGCTGGGACGATCCTGAAGACAAGGGCAGGGGTCAGAGCGGAAGGGCGGGGTAGCGCATCCCCTCCCCACGGCAGGGCCTGACAGCACTGCGCCTGCGGGGCTCCCGCGGGAAGGCCGAGCACCCAAGCCCGAGGCTGGTGTGAGCAGACAGGCTCTGCTGGGCGGGAGGGGGCATGCGCACAGCCACCTGTGACCGTGAGCAGGGCCGCCCGCCTCCACCTCCCCCTGCAGTGCCCAGCCACACTCCTTAGAGCGCAGACACGGAGGGGTGAGCCCAAGGACAGGAGGGCAAAGGCCGGGAGGGGGTACGAGCAGGACTTGGGGGCAGGGAGGGCGGCTGGGGGCCACCAGGCAAGAGGGGGTGCAAAGGGCCCATCCTCACCGGTAGATGAGGGTCTCATCTTCACTGCTGTTGTACTGGATTTGGAACATCCACACGGGGTCCGCGGGCCGCCCCGGGCCCCAGCTCACAAGCCCCGAGGTGGCGGTCACCTCTGTCACTTGCACTCCAGGCTCCGTCTCCAGAGCCCCCTCGCCCTCGGCAGCAGTCCGAGCAGAGGCCGCGATGTCCGAGGGCCCGGGGCGGCCGCCCTCCGCGCTGCTGTTCCCGCCATGGGGCAGGGCCAGCACCCGGAGCTCCACTTGGGCGGTGGCCTCCCCAGCAGGGTTGGTGGCGATGCAGGTGTAGCCTCCTGCGTCCCCAGCGCTCGTCACCCCAATCTCCAGGGTCCCGTTGGGGAAAGCCCAGGCGCGGGAGGAGTTGCCAACCAGCCGGTCGTCAGGGCCAACCCAGTGCATGGTGGGAGCCGGGTCCCCGAGCGCGCGGCATCGCAGCGTGGCCCGCTGGCCCTCGAGAACCCACAGGCGCTGTGTGTGGCGGGCGATGAGCGGCGGCTCACAGGAGAACTCGCCCTCGGGCACCGCCCAGAAGTAGCGGCCGGCCAGGCTGGGCGGGGAGGCGCAGGTCTCCAGGTCGTCGGGCCGCGCCAGGCGCCGCAGCCACAGCAGCTCGCAGTTGCAGTGCAGCGGGTTCCCGCTGAAGCTCAGCACCAGCGGGGCGGGGGAAGCCTCAGCTTCACGTCCGCGCGAGAAGAGCGGGTCCGGGGCCAGTGTGGCCAGGCGGTTAGACGTGAGGTCCAGGCGGGAGAGCTGACCCAGCTGGGCAAAGGCGCCGGGCGGCAGCGCGTCGATGAGGTTGTGGTCCAGGTTGAGGGTGTGCAGGGCAGGCATGGCGCCGATGCCCGCCCAGGGCACCTGCCGCAGGTTGTTGTAGGACAGGTCCAGGTCCTCGAGGCTGTCGAGGAAGTCGTCGAAGGCCCCCGGCGCGATGCGGCCCAGCTGGTTACCGCTGAGGATGAGGTGCTGCAGGTTGACAGGGCCCCGCAGGCTGCCGCTGCCCAGCTCCACCAGCCGGTTGCCGTCCAGGTGCAGGGAGCGCAGGCTCTCCAGGTCGCCAAAGGCGCGGGCCCCAATGCGGGTGATGGCATTGCGGGACAGCGTCAGGTCCACCAGCCCGGTCATGTTGCGGAAGTCAGGAGGCCCCAGCGCCTGGATGAAGTTGTCGGCCAGACGCAGCTCCACCGTGCGCCGGTCCACGTTGGGGGGCACAAACAGCAGGCCTCGGTGGGCACAGAGGGTGCTGAGCGACTCCGATAGGTTCTGGCAGACGCAGGGCAGCGGGCAGGCGGCCGCTCCACTGGCCAGCAGCAGCAGCAGGAGCGGAGGGGCCATGGTGGGCGCCCTGCGGGGAAGGGCCGCAGCCCGGGCACAGGTGGGGCTGGCGCAGGTGCCCACTTGTGCCCAGCACAGCCCCAGGAGCCAGTGTGCACAGCCTGGCCTGAGGAATGGTGGGTTCAGAGGCTCGAGGAGGACCCAGGGAGGAAGGCAGGCCGGGGCTGAGGGCCAGGCGGCCCCCCAGAGTTAAGGTCACATTTCCCAGGCAGTTCGGGGGCGGTCCAGACACTGGGCACAAGGTGAGGCGGCGGCAGGCAGGAAGCGGAGGTGGGCCCGGCGCAGGGAGGGTCCCGGAACTTCCTCTGCCTGGCGTCCCCGGGAGGCGCTAGCCCCCTCCCCCCTCCGCGCCATCGCCGCCCCGGCCGCGGAAGGCGCCCCTCCC